TAGCTTTGCGCCTTTCCTGGGACTCACTTGGTAGTCCAGGCTGGCCTCGAACTCACAGAGATCCACCTGGCTCTGCCTCCCGAGTGCTGGGATTAAAGGAGTGCGCCACCACCGCCCGGCACAAAATGTAAATTTTAAGAAGAAAAAGAACACTGGGAAGTGGAATGGAGATAAGTCCTGTGTTCAATGAGATAAATGGATTAAGAAATGGAATAAAGGGAGTGATGACCTCAGGGCAAGATCCCAGCCAGCTAAATTTCCAACCCTGAAAAGGAACTAAAGAAAAGCTTAGAGCTGGGTGTGGTGGTGCACACCTTTAATCCCAGCACTAGAAAGGCAAAGGTTGGCAGATCTTTCAGTTTAAGACCAGCCTGGTCCAGAGATTCAGTTTGGAGACAGCCAAGCTTAGGCAGTGAAAGATAGAAAGCTAGTGAAGATATAATTGAACTAGGGGCCCAAGTTTCATCTCCAGTAAGCAGCAGAACTTGGTAGCTTCTGTTAGCATTCAGACTCACCTCTTGGGGACCTGGCCAATATGCAGGCAATACCTTAGCCCACTCAAGATCCTGACAATGTCATGTGCTCATTGTGGTCTCTCTGCACATGTGCTAGGTCTACTCATAAAAAGGAGGGGTCCACTCTTTCTCATATCTTTTTCTTTTTTCTTCTTCTTCCTCTTCTCCCCTCAGCTCCCTTCTCTCCCTTCCCCCCAATAAAGCTCTATGTGAATGTGGTCTGCATGGTATATCTCTCTCTTCAGCTCCCACCTGCCATGACTGCTGGGAGCCATTTTCAAAATACAACAGCTTCGGCCACATGGTTCTGGCTTTAGAGTTAAGGATAGAAGAAACGGGTTATGGAATTTGTCCCTGAGATTAAGGCAAGCTGCTGCATGTGTCAGGGGTGTCCATGAATGGAGGTCCAGAGAGGCCATTGTATGAAGCTTTCAAGCTGAAGCCTGGACTGCTTTGGAGATCCCAGGGAGTGGAACCAGAACAAGAGAAGAAGTGTGTTGCATTTTTGCAGTTAACAAAGCTGGACAGAATTGGAGATCTGACTAGTGTGTGTTTTGACAACAGACATGGAGGTGCTGGAGTTTGCCCATCTGGTTTCGGTCTTGCTTTGGTCCAGTATTTCCTCACTATACTCTCTTCCTTATATTTTGGAATAGTAATGTATATGTATCTGTGCCATTACATGTTGGAAGTATGTGATCTGTTTTTTATTTTTATTTTATAGGGGATTACAGTTAAGACACTGCATGAATCTCAGAAGAGACTTTGAACTTTAGACTTTTAAATAAATTTGAGACTTTTATGGGGACTTTTGAAGTTGGACTGAATGTACTTTTGCATTATAGTATGGCTACAAGACTTTGGGGGCAAGGGAGTGGAATGTGGTGGTTTGAAAGAAAATGGCCCCCCAAGGGAGTAGCACTATTAGGAGGTGTGGCTTTGTTGGAGTAGGTGTGGCCTTGTTAGAGGAAGTGTGTCACTGTGGGGGTGAGCTTTTAGGTCTCCTATGCTCAAGCTACTCCCAGTGTCACAGTCAACTTTCTGTTGCCTGCAAGATGTAAACTCTAAGCTACTTCTAAGCACTATGTCTGCCTACATGCTGCCATGCTCCCTGCCATGGTGATAATGGACTAAACCTCTGAAACTGTAAGTGAACAGCCCCAATGAAATGTTTTCCTTTACAAGAGTTGAGGTGGTCAGTGTCTCTTCACAGCAATAGAAACCCTAACTAAGACAGATGGGTAGGAAAGTAAGGAGGATGTGGGAAGAGATGAGGGAGGAGAAACTGTGGTTTGAATATTTTCTGAAAAGAAATGTATTTTCAAAAAATAAAAAAAAGATTTATTTTACTTTAAAATTTTATGTATATGTCTGTGAGGGTATGTGCATGTGAATGCAGGTGTCTCTGAAGGCCAGAAGAGGGTTTTGGATTCCCTGAAGCTGGAGTTACAGGTGGTTCTGAGCTCTCTGATGTGGTACTGAGAACCAGACCAGGGTCCTCTGCAAGAGCAGTACATACTCTTAAACATGGAGCCATTCTTCAAATACCCTGGAAGTCACTTCAGCTGGAGAGGGAGGGCCCTACAACAATAAGGAGAAGTTCAAAATGGTCACCTGCCTTACTGACACATCTGTGATTAGAAGCAGCTATCAGCAGTAAGAACCTACCTCAAAATA